TTTTATTAGTTTTACATCAGATCTATTATTTAAAAGGAGAGACATATTGCGTGTGTGTGTGTAATTTCCATTTGCCGCCCTCTTTCAATTAATCCCCAGCTTGTACATGTAGGTTGTATAAACACCAGAACTTTGTTAGTGGCTATTATGGTGTTCAGTGCAGTAATATCACACTTACAACAACAATAGCAGCAGCAGTATTTGGTAGAAGAAAGAGAAGACAATGTCCCATAAGAAAGAAAATGGTGTGTCAGAGGTTTTGGATTCAGAGATAATGTTGATGATGATTAGAATATTGATCCTGATAACCCACCTGTTATAAAAGAAGCAGTGGAAAGCCACCCACACTTTGTCATTAGTCATCACCAGCTCCTTACAGCCTACTGCAGAGCATGCTGCCACCTATGATTTAGCTCTCCATCCAGTTATGAGGGGGTGTTAAGCATTTATTATGCAGCACAGTCCTAGTCCCAATGAAATGGCAGAATGTTACCCAATCAATACCCCTCACAGGGAGCCAGGTTAATTTATTTTTTAAGGATCTGTTTGTGTGTCTAAGCCTCCTTTTGCTGCAGGTTGTGATGCAAAGATCTGGAGAGTAATGCTTTGTCACTGACAGACACATGCAAGTACACTGGCATAAACATGCATACATCATTTTTTATACTGTATACCACTGTTCTGTTTTATGACACACAAAGCCTCAAGACTCTGACAGACTACTTATGCTGATTAATAGTGAGGCTGTGTTTACTGGGAACTATAGAAACCACCTGTATGGTTTGAATCTCTAGGGTCTCTCTGTTGTAAATGTTTGACCTTTAGCTCTGACCCTCATGTTCAACACATACAGAGTGCCTGACCTTTTCATCCCTGCATTTTTACTTTTTTTGTTATGACTTTTACTCCTGTCATGTCAGTAACTCTACCCTCATATCCATCTGCGTTTTGCGACTGCTCCTTTCAGCATTGGACGTATACTGTAGCAATGTAGTCCTTGGCGTCATATGATTTCCTGGTCTCTTTTGCTTATTTATAACCATATATATGCACATACATAGTTACATGTGCACACAGTCACCACATGCTTAGTTTTGTATGCACACCCTAAGCCACATGACAATAGATGTGCACTGTATTTAACCCTTTTACCATGCTGTAAATCTTCTGGCTGGCAAAATGCTGTGGCTCTGTAAAGTACAGAACAAATGCTCTCTTGCCAAAGTGCGCTTAAAAGAAGCAGAGTCACACACTTTTTCCTGATTGAAATGTGTTCTGATTTATGTAAGACAGTCACCAAATCTCCATGTCAACCATTCACCTCAATCAATTGTACATTTTCATACAAATAAACCATCAACCATAAGTTTACAGCTGAAAATGTGAGGGATTTGTTTTCACTATAAACATTTTGGTTACCCCTCATATGTGTTGATGTTTACTGAGCATAATCAGTCAAGGCATTTATAATGGGTACTGTCTGAGAGCACATATCTCCCCTCAGGGAATTATCACCCTAAACTTAGGTCAAGCAGAGATTTGATCCATTGTCACTTAGATGGATTGATGCTTTTCTTTACGTTTTCCATCTTATGGACACACAGAGAAAGAGCAAGAGAGAGAAGGTAAATGATAGTTGGGATGGAGATGGCTCTAAAGTAGTTTAATGTCAGCCCTCAAGACTCAAAGCTATTAAAATATTCAGAGCCGTTCTCCATCACCTTCTGCCCTTGTTGCTTGTTTAAGAAAAGAGTGAAATGAAATCAATAGCAGTGCCAGTACTGGCCTCCATGCCAGGCATCATCAAATATTTAAATAAAGCTTCCCAACCTTAAATTTACCCTGCAGTTGCATGTTTAAGGAGCTGTGAATTTTAGCCAGGATGGGAAGATGAAGAAAATAAAAGAAATCATCATGAAGGCCACCCATTCACACCAAAGTCATTTGCATTCACATGATATAATAGAGACTGTCCTTCTGAAAAAAATGACTCAGTATGTCATTTGCGTCAGCAGGTTGTTATGACCAATAGTTGCTTACTATAGTTTTGTGACCTGAATCAAGCATAGTAATTGTGACACAAACAGCCAGAATTTCTCCTTGGGCATTAATGACTCCATCCATCCAGCCATTCAACCATGCAGCCATCCATCCAGGAAGTTAGGTAATGTAGTATATAGAGCCACAAAGTCCGTGTTATGATGGGATTAGGGTGGGTGGCCGGTACGTAACGTACAAGACTTTCCCTGACACGAGCACTGTTCAGTTCCAGTGTGTGGCATGACTTTTTCACCTAACTAAGCAGTGTGTACTCTCACACCTAACCTAGTAGTTTGTGTGCCTTAATATAAAGAAACCCGTGATTTTATCAGCATGTTTATGACAGTTTTCATAACAACAGATTTTCGGTATACTTTCCATCATAATCATGTGTTTATGACCACCTCCGTGACGACAAAAGTCCGTAAAGCTTGGGGATGTGGCAGATGTGGCTGTTAATGTTGGCAGATTTCTTGCAAGTCTGCCTACCAACATAGGAGCGCTATTTCAGGAGATGCTTCTGTGGGTTGTATGAGAAGGGAGGGACAAATGACCATATGGGTCATGTAGATTGGAGAACTAGTTGATATGGCAGGTTATGACAGCTACTATATGCTGAGTCTTAAAGTGGGGTGTCCTTGGTGCCATAAATAAGAAATGAGCCATAAGTCCCATATGGCAACTTTAGGCCATTATCAATCTCTCAAACATGTCCCCTAACAAATATGTACAAAGTTTAGTGCTTTGTTTTATTTCAGGGAGACAAGTGCTGCTCGCAGACTATTAATTTAGTTGTGCACTACAGTTCATTAACCTGTTTATAGTAAAAAAAAAACATGAAAGTACTGAAGAATTGCTCACATTGTACATTTATTTATTTTTTTATCTTACATTGGCTAGTTGCTCACACTATAGTTTGATGTTAATTACTAATACAGGATCCTTCTACTGTCACAAACCTCTGAGGTCTGCTTCAGAATAAAATATATATGATGAGAAGCTGCCTAAAGACCACTGTGGTTAGAAAGTCATAATATAGAGTTTTGAAAACAAATGACTAAATTCCATGTTCCTATGAAATGCATGTTTATTTCCTCTTGCATTTATTGAAGAATAGAATAATAAAATAGCCTCAGTTTAATGCACTGAATTGCAAAACACTGCATTCCCAGCATACGACTCACGTTAATCTGGATGACAAGTATGTGATGAGATTTTACCTGAGAGGAATCCCACGAGCTCTGGGAGGAAAATAAGGCCATTTGATACAGTATGTCCAGCAGCTCGCTGTGTCCTTTCCTCTAGAATCTTATGATTATAAGAATTAACACAGATTTAATCATTTATTTCTGAAAACTTGTCATTTTGTCCAATTCTTGTAATATTTTCAAAAAAAGCTACACCTATTTGCCTGTTCATGACTATTTTTAGCTAAAATAAGTAATTTCAGAACCACTGTCAATAAACCACGTTCAAATACAATTAAACCTCAAGCCCAGCAAAACAATTTTTCTGAGACATTGCCTGAGGGACCTTAAATCCTCTTCGCAAGCTTACTCCCAGGCTCTATATCACCCCGAGCAAAGTCCGCCAATTTAAAACTCACAAATCCATGTCTAAACCTATAAGAACCAAACAGATCTGACCTTTTGTTGCAGTTTGTTCAAAGAACACCAGAAAAACAACTGTAATTACAGCGTGATTGATAATTATAAAGGTAAATTTTTGCTCTCATAGGAACTAAATATGTAATGATTTGACTGTCACTGAGTTCTTAAAACATTTTTATTCCTG